AATGGATTTTGTGAAACTGTACTTTTGATGTGGGTTATTAACGTAACTGAATATGGTCTGTTGATGTGCGTATAAGCACGGCTCTATGGACAAAGTTTTTAAATTTTGTTTCCCTTTTGGCCCCCTTTGCTCTGATGTGTTAAGTCTGTTTTGGTTTGAGGCCGTAGGTAATCTCGTGATTACTGGCCGATTATGGCCTTAACCCATAGGGGCGGGTTCGGGTCGTGACACTATTTATCCATACGTAATCCGTACTTCCCCTTAACAAGGTCAAATCAGATAGAGGGTCTCATCAAATTAATCCCAAATGGGGGCTCTAACAGGCCCAATCAAACAAAAGTTCTATCAGATTGAATCAAATGAAAGTTTTCTGAATGGGGTACTTTTGGTTTTGTAAGGCACACTTCGTTGCTTAGGTACATAGTCGATAATTCACAACTATCCTAAGTTCATCAGTTCCCAAAGTCATATCGGAGTCATTTATCACAACTGTTCGTATCAAGGTATTTCAAATCATGTACAATATGGCATTGTTCATATAAGTTCAGGTGTAGTTACATATGTAGGCGTTCATATCAGGAGATATATATCATAATCAATATAGAAATTCTCAAATAGGTCTTATATGCAAGCACATGGTACACAATAACACATTAAACCAAGTTCTTCGGTTACACATAATATAGGATTTGTCACGCAAGGGTTCCAAATTAGTCACAAAGCATAGATTTATGAGTCACGCTTAACATAGTCACATAGCTTAGTCAATTTTCTACCAATCCAAATACATGATCTCGCAATTTATAGAGTTCATTATTTGGGGTGCTCAACCCAGTCACACAATCACAGAGTCATTGAAGACAGTAATATAACAAATCACCCTGAGCATAGGTTTAGATGTACATGTGCATGTGCAGAGTTAATCGATATCCCAATACGTATTTCACAAATTTCCCAAATGGAACACATACATTCAATGAATACGGTCTCGACCTCGTGGGTCTAACTAATCTAGATACACAAGCAGCAGATATGAAAGAATATGTTGATTCGAATCAAATAATATCCCAAGCAAAGATGTACAAACGTACTAATTTAGAATCAATCAACACATAGGCATTTGTTTATAAACAGTATAGATACCTGGGATAACGGTTGCAGTATTCTGAGTGCTTTCTGGGACGAGTACAATTACTCCATGCTGAGTAGCAGTTCCTACCACTGGTACGAATCTAGCTGAGGCAGAACATTTATTCACATTGCTCAGTTCGGGTACAATCCCTTACAATATGGTCCATTTTACCACACCTATAACAAGCCCCGAAATCCGACAACGACTCCTCGGCGTTTCTTACACTGGTGGTGGCAAAAGTTCTTACCATAACAGCAACTGACGTTGTTGTCTTAAGATCTCTGCCATTTCTTGTACCATTCTTTCCAGTCTATCAGGTCGGGCTGTAAAAAAGTTTGCCAACTCGTATGCCCTTACTTTAACCATGTTCTATACGAACTCTTATTAAATCATGCCAAATACGGGGATGTCCAATACAAAAATAAACACATAGTCACACATAGGCACGTCTTTATATTCTCATTTCACATATCGTACGTAATTAATCACATACATAACAGATAATTGCATACTTATCAGATATCGCATGCTGAACATTTACTAAGTAATTATATACTCAAATCATGTTCATATTTCACATAGACACCGGTAGGCAGAATTGAATGCACATAAACAACTTTTCATGATTCATATATTCATGTATGTGCATTATAACAAAACAAACTTGTTGTACACATTAGTGTAACAATTCATATCTCATATTCAAATCGTGTGTGGTACTTCCTTTAGCATAGCATATCAAGTTGGTCAAGCATATCAAGTTCCATAATGGAACCTTCGGTACTGAGTAACAAATCTCATACATAGGCCACGGTATTGTTTCCCCCGGGCGAGGGCCTCATGACCATAAGCCACAGTATTATGTCCCCTGGGCGAGGGCCTCTGCTAAGGATACCACAATTACGTTCCAGGAAAATTTGGACAATCATTCATACAAAACATAGCATTCTAGGGTGCTTGTCATTTCATATCATCAACAAATATTTAAAGTTAAACATAACTTTACGGAGTTCTTACTCACCATCTGATTAAACTTACATTATACAATATACAAAAGATTCTACAAATATGCATATACTAGAGAGCATATGTAGTCAAACAATTTGCAATGTAAGTACAGCACAACTTATAGCACATAATTGCCCAAATCAAAACACTTAAGCATATTCTCGATGCTTTCGAATTTATACTTATCACCTGAATGCATCCTAGATCTTTTCTAGACGCTCATTGCTCTTTTGGACAAATGCGTGAGTTATTAACTCGTGCTCTGATACCACTCTGTCACGACCTGAACTCGCCCCTCTAGGTTAAGGCCATAACCGGCCAGTAATCACGAGATTACCTACGGCCTCAAACCAAATAAGACAAAACTCATTAGAGTAAAAGGGGCCAAACAGAAGCAATTTTAAAACTTTGTCCATAGAGCCGTGTTTATATGCACATCATAACATTCCAGACATACATATGTTAATAACTCACAACAGAAAGTATAGTAACATAAGTACTGTATAGACAGGATCATTCAAATCTAAGTCAGCCAAGCAAAACTACATACAGATGTATTCAAAACTTCGCCAACATGAAAAAATATAAATACATAACAAAAGGGCGAAGACGGGTCTCGTGCATGAGACACAAGGGTTGACTCTCTCAAAACCTTAGTTGTTCCATACAGACTTCACTGAGGCTGGGTCTGGACTTCTCTTGGCTCACCTACAAACACATGAATGAGCGTAAGCGAAAGCCCAGTGAATAATATCAAATCAAATACAGAAGTTACATAACAATGTAGAACAACATGTTCCAAACGGCCTTGGGCCCAATTCATATTTCTATTTAACAGATATATATAACTATACGAAATTCAAATCAAGTGACTGTAGTTCCAAATATTCTGGCCTTTGGCCCATTTGTTTACGTCAAAACGGCCTTCGGCCCACACATTCGTGTCAAAACGGCCTTCGGTCCACTCATTCATGTCAAAACGACCTTAGGTCCATTCTTACATGTCCAAACGACCTTCGGTCCACTCATTTCTATCAAAACGACCTCCGGTCCATTCATTTCTATCAAAACGACCTTCAGTCCATTCATTTACGTCAAAACGGCCTTCGGCCCACTCATTCATGTCAAAACGACCTTAGGTCCATTTATTTCTATCAAAACGACCTTCGGTCCATTTATTCATATCGAAACGACCTTCTGTCCATTCATTCGTTCATGTTAGACTTTTGTCCACAATCCCAATTGGCAACTCATAAAGCTTATAAGGGAATAAACCGTTGGACATTGCTAAGCTTTCAAATATCGATATTACTCACAGTGATCGGCTTGTGGATTTGCCCTGGAGCTTGACCCTACACATTTCATGAGCACAAAAGGGGTCACTAACAGTTCAATCCGTTCTTTAATTCACATATTCCTCTTTAGGCTTTATTCTTATCTCGTTAACTCATTTACAATGCTCAATGCATGCCTAAGAGTGCTTACAAGTGAAAGAGAACGGAAAAATATAACACAGAATGCATTTTCAGAGTTTCAGAAAACAGGGTCCCCGCTCGAGCGGACCCTTAAGCCTGCAAAAGTGCTGGTTAATTCAAATTCCCGCTCGAGCGGACTGCCTGTCTACATAGCTTCCCACTCGAGCGTAAACTTCCCCACTTGAGCGGGCACCATGCCTGTCAAAAATGCTGGGAGCTCGAATTCTCCGCTCGAGCGGCACTTCCCCCGCTCGAGCGGACGTCAAAATTCTGGAAATTCCAGGTTGTGTTCTTGAGCTCCAATTCGATTTTCTACCAACAAAACATGCATGTTATGGCTCAAATCTCAAATATAATTATACTAACATGATGTAAACCTTAAATCACAACCCAATGAAGCTCAATTCACAAATAATTCACATGTATGCCCCAAAATATGTCAAACTCATCACCAACATGCTCAAATTCAAACATTCAAGACTTACTCTCCCATAATTTGTACATGCATGTGGGAGATGCTCACCATTCTCAACTCATTTGATGAAGAGGTGGTCAAAACATGAGTTTCCTTTAACATTTCACATGGATTATACATATTTGTGCTCAAACATGCAATTTCAAGGTAATTTCTTATACGCATGCACATATTAAGCTTCAATTCAACAAAATTAACCCAACTCATGCTCTTTCTCCTTGTTCAACTCTGAATTTACAAATAGCAAACAAGAATCCATGATTCAAGGGATAATTACTCACTTAGGAGCCTTAAACACCCAAGTTCTAGCCAAATCTTGAGCTTAATCTTCAAATTCCCAGGTCTTGAGCCCAAATTACACAAGTCTCTCCCTTTTTCTCTCTATAACCGGCCCTTCCTCTGGTTTTGAGTCCAAGGTCAGTCAAAATACAAGAAATGAGGGAATTGGGGTGTAATGCTCCTATCCAACAAATCCCACTAAGTCCCAATTTAAGAATATTAAACAATTTGAGCACAATGCCATTAAATGAATCAATTTAATCTGACCAGAATCAATTTCTAATTAAATTTCACCATAGGCTCTAAAAATTACGCTAATCACAAAGGCGTAGTCAATTTTGGGTTCTGTGGCCGATAGGGCCCTCAGTTTAATTCCCAAGGCAGATTATTTAACAGATATTCCTACGATGAACAGATAGAACTTCAAAACCACATATTTTCACATAATGGAACACAAAATCATATCAAAATACATAATCACATCATGTTAAGGACCAATTAACATATTACGGAACAGGGGTATTACAATTTCACTATCAAAATGCATCATGGTGGGGTTTTTAAGTCTTTAGTAAATAGGGCTTACGTAGGGGTGAAATTATCATTTTGGGACAACTGTGATGCTGATAAAATGAGGTTGACAGAGATAGGGGATATGGCTCAAAAGTTTGGTTATACTGAATTCATTTCATACCATTATCGAGTGATTGGTAGGGACTTAAATTATGGATTAAGGCCACTTAGGAATGATAGTGATGTAATGGATATGGTGAAATGGGTGCATGTAAGTAGGAAAATTGAAGTGTATTTAGAGCATATCCCTGATGACCAGTTACTTGAGCTCGAAAAATTTAATCCCTTTTATCATGCATCAGTTGTCATTGAGGAAATTGGAAGTGACACAAGTAATGTGGAGGGTGAGGGGGAAGTTGAAGTTGAAGTTGAAAGGTAAAGTCATGATTCATCCAACTGTTCTACAGATCTAGAGGAGTTTGAGGATAGTGACTATGATTTCAATGAGGATGACATACTATTTGATGCTAATGTTGATAGGAATGTTGAATGGGGTGGGTTAGGGAGGAAGAAGCAAAATGATGAAAGGGTTGAGGTACCTCATATTGACTGCCTAGAGCTTGATGTTACATTTGATGACCTGAAGAGCATTAATGGATCTTCTGATGAAGAGGCTGAAAGCAATAGGGTTAGATACCTAGAGTTTAATCCGAACACAGATATGGCAGACCCACAATTCAAGGTTGGCATGGTTTTTGGCAATGCCAAAATATTCAAAGTTGCTGTTAAGGAGCATGGAATTAAGATTGGGAAGGCCACTAAGTTAGTCAAAAATGATAGCATGAGGGTTAGGGCCACCTGTAAGCCACAATGTGAGTGAATGCTCTATGCATCCAAGATGCAAGGACACCCATCATTCCAGATAAAGACATATGTCCCCACTCATAATTGTGGCAGAATTGTTTATAATAGACAAGTGAATTTTACATGGTTGTCTAAGAAGTACTTGGAGACATTAAAGTCCAATCCATCTATTCTAGTGCAGTCATTCAAGCAAATTGTGCAAAAGGATCACAAGGTTGGTATATCCAGGAGCCAAGTGTATAGGACAAAGAGAAAAGCACAAGAGTTGATAGAGGGAAGCCTCATGGAACAATATGCCAAGTTATGGGATTACTGTGAAGAGATAAAAAGAACTAATCCAGGGACAACTATCATAGTCAAGGAAGATGATGAAGAATCACAAAATGGAGAACATGAAATAGATGAAGCCAAGCCTAGGTTTCAAAGGATTTTTGTATGCTTTGGAGGTTGCAAGCAAGGTTTTCTGGCAGGATATAAGCCATTCATTGGGGTTGATGCCTGCCATTTGAAAGGGCCATATAAAGGATAACTGTTGCAAGCTGTTAGTTTGGATGGGAATAACAACAGCTATCCATTGGCCTTTGCAGTTGTTGAAGGAGAAACAAAGAGTTCATGGAAATGGTTTTTTGAAATATTGTATGACACTCTTGGGTGGTTCAACAAGAAATGAGTGACCTTCATGTCAGACAAGCAAAAGGTAAATGCTTATTGGAAGTTTCATGCATTTATTTTTATTGTTTAGTTCATTTAAAGTGTGTAACTTTTTTTTTTTTTTTTTTTTTTTTTTTTTTTTTTTGCAAATGTAGGGGTTGTGTCCAACACTTGTAAAGCTTGTACCCATGGCAGAGCATAGGTTCTGCATCAGACATCTTTACACCAATTTCAGAGATAGCTTCAAGGGGGTGCACCTGAAGGACATTGTGTACAAAGCTGCAAAGACTTCTTATGTACAAGCATTTGAGGCTCATATGGAAGAGTTAAATAAAGCTAATGAAGATGCATTCAATTTGTTAGTTGAAAAACCCCCAAGCACCTGGTCTAGATCTCATTTCACACCTACAGTTAAGTTTGATATCTTACACAACAACATGTGTGAGAGCTTTAATAGCTTGATCCTAGAAGCTAGAGGAAAAAGCATAATCCCTTTGTTAGAGGACTTTAGGTGTATCTTGATGAACAGGCTGTAGGTGAGAAGGGAAGTAATGAGGGCTTGCCGAGGACCTATTTGTCCTAATATACAACAAGCACTAGAGAAAAGGAAAGAAGATGCAAGCAATTGTATTGCTATGTGGGCAGGAGGTCTGAGGTACCAAATCAATTGCTTCAATGGGAAACAATTTGTAGTTGATTTGGGTGATTCAACTTGTTCATGCAGAAAGTGGGATCTAACTGGCATACCATGTTGTCATGCCATTTCAGCCATATAAGACAAACATAAGCAACCTGAAGATTATGTGGCTCATTGGTATAAGAAGGAGACATACTTGGCTAGCTATGAGTCAATGATATATCCAATAAATGGTTATGAAATGTGGCCAAAGTCGGTGTTGCCTGGATTATTGCCTCCAAAAGTGAAGAAGCAACCTAGTAGGCCAAGAAAGTTGAGAAAAAGGCAAGCAGATGAGCCTAAGATCCTCATAAGTTGCACAGAGGAAACATAACAACTACATGCAGCTTGTGTGGTAAGCTTGGGCACAACAAAAGTGGATGCAAAGGCCAGCCTATTGCACCAAAGGTTACCCTACACACAATTTGTTACATCTTCATAAATTCAATTAATTTATTAGAGGTCCTTCATACAATTAATTATTGACAATTTGCAAGTGACAAAGAACCAGTCAAGCACCCAAAGAAACAGTCATAGAAGCATTCAGCCACCTACTCAACCCAGTAGTCAACCAAGAGACCAAGAAACCACTGAAGCCACTAGTCAACAAGGCAGTAGGGTAAGCATTTTAGTAAGGCCTAAAGCAAGTGGTAGTCAACCAAGCTTCAACTTCAGACCAGCATTACAAGGGGTGAACATTAGGGGACCTCCACCAGGGTTCATTAGAACAAGCACATTCATTAAGCCAAACCCATCTGAAGGTCCATATAGGGGTTCAACAACATATGTGTCAAAGGGACAGAAGTTTGTGACCTTGTCTTCACTACCAAAACATGGAAGAAATTAAATGTTGAAGGAGCAGTTACCTAATAGTAGACAACAGTTTTTTGTGGATTGTTATGCATTATGTTTTGTTGTATTTGGCCTTTTTATGTTTTGTTGGAACATGGTAATGTTTTGTTGGATTTGCCATTTGTATTTTTTTGGCACATGGTAAACTGATTGGACTTTGTGTTATTTGAAGTATTTGTTTTTTGCATTGGAACATGTTTGGACCAAGTTTTTTTTTATTATATCAACCATGTCTACAATGTTTGTTTCTATGTCTTGTTATAGGTTGCATCATGTTTGCTAAAAGTGAAACAAACTAATGCAGCAAAAGTGAAACAACACCATGATCTAGTGTGATTGAAAAAAAATGGTAAACAAAAACAGCTTCATTCAACATTCATTTAAAAATTCAACATTGACTCAAAAGTTGATAAACAAATGTTGATTAAAAAATATTGCTACAGCTTGATTCAACATTGATATAGTGTCATTCAAAACATGTTTGGACACTCATAACATTCATATATAATAAACCCCAATTACACAACACTGGACATAACAAAATCAAACCCTAAAATCCATTCCCAGTCCATAAGCATCAATTACAGGAAGAAAAAAAAAAAAAAAAAACCCTTCCTTCTACTCCATTCCCAACCCAAAAGCTTCAAAAAAAAAAAAAATTTAAAAATTTATCTTTGAATGCAAAAGGGGAGTAAAGATGATTTCATTTAATAAGTAAATTGAAAAGGAATTTTTTACACAAACATAAACTTGTAATAAATTTAAACTAACATATCATGGGTATTTGAGACCAAATTCAAAAAAATAAAATAATATGTGATCAAATTCATGAGCTTCTCTATGGATTAGAGTCTCAACCACACATATTCTTATGGAGTTGTTGAGTTGAGGTGATGTGGTCAGCGACGAAGAGTCTCTAAGCTGGGAAGATAAAGAATTACAGTGAAATTGTTAGTGTTAAAGTCTTTATAAACAGCCAAAAGTGTTCCATTGGTAATGTCGAAAAAGGCCACGACATTGACTTTGTCATCATACTACGCTAGCAGTTGCTCAAAAATACATAACACTACACTAAACACCATACCACGAAGATACTCACTTTATCAAACCTAAGCTAATGATGAGTTCCTTAACCCATGAATCCGGACTTGTCAAGTTTTCCATATCCTTAGCCATCCAAACTTCCATTTCATGTACTTCAATAGATGTTAATGATACCATCTCGCTCAAAAAGGTTAGCCTCCTAGCTCTCAATTCTGCCACCTATACACTAAATTTATCTGTTATTACTAGAACAACAACCACGCCAAATGTTTCATCAGCAACTTTGAATCGTAACAATTGTGTTTTTGTAAATTTTTTCCCCAACTGTAGGATAGAATGGGGTAAATACATTCTAATACAATACTCCTTCAATTGATGCAACGTGGTAACAAGGACATAACAAATCACATCGAATATCATCATTGTTATCATTATTATTCCCTTCTTGTTGTTGAACCTCTAAGAAAAATCCAATTTCATCAAACATTGATTTAAAGTCTTCCTTGAATTTTATTTTTCCCAATAAATAAATAAAATTTTTACATTTCAAGATTTTGTAAAGAAGATTTAATTGATTTAAAAAAAATTAATTAAAAAAAGTCAACTCCAAGAAGAAGAAAAAAAAGACTGACAAATAATTATGTACCCACCAATGCAACAGTAAAATTATAAAAAGTGGGTGTTTTAACTAAATTATTAGATCATGATAATACAGTTTGGTCGGCAAGGGATGGGTCAAACTGATCCAAGTGCTCCGCAGATCGGTTGACCTTCGTTCTCCAAGTTGAACTTGTAACAAGCCCACTGGGAAGGTTTCAAAATGAGGGTTTCCTTCTCGTAGACTCTCCGATGATCAAGTTAAATGGGAACTGTAGCTTGTTTTTCGTGCTCCTTTCGAATACGACTAGCCTTACAGTTCAGACTCCCATGGTTTTGAATTTGATTTCACAAGTGCAATGTGAAATAGATAAACACAAATGAGTCCAAATCTGGCATATCTTTTGAAAAATCAATGTTTGAATTAAATACAAAAAATGGACTACTTTGCCAGATTTCAGAGTCGCCATCTAAATATTTTTGAAAAATTTAGGAAACCCGTGACTCGTGCCAAAGGCCATTAGTCCGTCATCACCAAAGTGTCTTGGCTTGAGAACTTAGATATGAGAGAGGAAGGTTATGAATTGAGCACCCTACTCACCCAATCAAAGCTCGGCCTCTGCTAATCATGATATGATTCTTATTTACATTATATGCTTTTATTCTAATTATTTGGGCTAATTTTACTATGTGTTGTACATAAGTATAGACCAATTCACGAAATTTGGAATGCATTGATTTCATGTTTGTTTTGAAAA